TTGGATGAATGACACGTGGCCACACTGTAAAACGTGGTCATTAATAAAATAAAATATAAGATAATACCTTACCGATTATACATTTAAATATTTTTTTTTATTAAAAGGTTTTGTTTTTATTATATAAATTGATAAAATTCTCAAAGATTGGGGGCCATTTTGGAATTTCTCAAACATAGCTCTAGTTTTCTTCAAAGGTCACGGTATTGGAAGGGAGAGAAGACCATTAATAAAGAGAATAAAAAGAATTGGACCGTATAAATTTATTATAATACAAACAATTTTAATAATTATTCTTATTTTATTCGAAATAAAGAAATACCAAATTACCATTTTAGTCTAATTGGTCATGACTTTTTTTTTGTTTTAATTTAAATTTTTGACTTTTACAATAATAATTAAACCTAATTTAAAAGTAGTGTAGAAAAATATTAAATATGATAGAATAAATTAGAAATAAAGTTATCTAATATGGAGCACATGATGATATTTTTAATTTTTAATTTTTAATTAGTCAATTTGAAGCCATTTTAGAGGTGAAATATATTAATTTTTATTTTAAATATAGATGGTTCCTTTCAATCAAACTAAAAATAGAAAATAATAATAATAATAATTTTAATTCTATTCATAGATTTATTTTTTTATTCGCGTGGTTTAAAGCTTTGAACTTTTCAGTTACAAAATATTTAAATTATTTATCATTTAATCCTTAATATATTTAAATGGTCAATTTTCCGTTTTTTTTTTCTATTTGGACAAAAGCAACCATTCAATTCAAAGAATGGTAAAAACACCTCTTAATTAAATTAATTATATTATTTATTAAAAAAAATATACTTAATGGGTATATATACCAAATATTTTTTAAATTACTATTAATTTATACGTGACTAAAAACAAGATATCGACTACCGTGGACAGTAAAATATTTTTTCAATTTCATAAATAGAGTTGGGGACAGAAAATGGGGAGGGACTGGAGTCAGATTTCTTCTTACACCACTCTATCCCTGTTTTTTTCTTTGATATATATATATATAATAAATAAGTTTTTTCAATTTTTTTTCTGTCTCATCATAACATTTTCATGAATTTACAAATATACCATCATTTTATTTCAATTAATTATATTATAGACTTAAAACTATGTCAAAACAAAATAATGAACGGAACATTTAATAAATATTATTACAGTAGAACTGCGTCCAAACAAAACAATAACCGGAACATTTTATAAATATTATTACGCGTAGATTATCATGTTTAAAGTGAAAATGATGTAGATCTTTTTTTTTTTTAAGTAAAAAACTATGTATAATATAGATTTTAATTTTTAAAAAACGACGATTATATTATAATTTTATTGGATTATATTAGATTTTTGTAAAAAAAATTATAAATGAGAATAGGAGTTAAATTTCCTTTTTTCTTCAAAACAATAATAACAAAATTACGGTTTTTTTTTTCCAATCATTTATTAAACCTACTTAAGTAGCATAATACTCTCATAAATATAGTACTAAAAATAAAATAAAAAAAAAGGAATAATTTGAAAAATGTAAACACATAAAATAATTCTATTAATTTCTTTAGAATATAGAATAAAACTTTAGCAAGTAACAATATAGTTTATATACTCTAAAATGTATATAATAAGTTAACCCCTATTAATATTATACTAATTTAAATTTAAAAAAAAAAAATTATGGAGAGTAATGCGTACCGTAACCTTGGACGAGCAGCAGAGCATGCAACTCTTAAAGCTGGGGGCCATTACTGCAATGAGGCGGTTGTGGTTGCCTGGTTGGTCCAAGAAAGCTGGTGGAAATGGCGGACAAGGAGAAGGAGATGATGAAGAGGAAGAGGAAGATGGGGAGATAGGGAAAGGAAAGCGATGGATGAGGTCTGAATTACATTCCCTTCTAACTCTTATCCTCCACCAAACATTTTTTTTTTTTTTTTTAAATTTTAATATTTGTTCGCACGTACAGATGTTCTTTCGTTGTTGTGTATGTATCGACTGGTACTTAAAGAAAGAGTGTACAGATGTTCTTTCGTTGTTGTGTATGTATCGACGGGTACTTAAAGAAAGAGTAGGCATAGCATATTGAAAGAATACGTATAACTGGGAGTTCTCACGTTAATTTTTTATTTTTTATTTAATTTAGTTTGGAATAAAAAAAATGGTTGTTTATTAATTTTTAATATTGACCTAGACATGAGACATTAAGTAATGTTATGTTAAAATTAATTAATTTTTATAATAGGATATATATATATATATATATGTGAATAAATAAACAAATAAATGTGATTTAATAGAGGGCTAAAAATTTCTGCTCGAAAGGCCCATTATACTGCTTCTGTACGGCAGATACGATTTCCGTTTATTCATTTCACTTTCCGTTCTGTTTCTCGTGTAATAACGTTCGTGATAATACGACGCCGTTTCCCCTTTTCCCCTCTTCTCTCCCTTTTCCGTCGACGAACCACTTCTCAGAAACAGAAACGTTTCCTTCCCGTCGCTGTTGCTCCGGGGAATCTTGTCTCCGAACCGCCACAGTTTCGAGAACCCCGTTGAATAGCTCTTCTTCCGCAGCTCCGGCGCCGCCGTCGTCGAAGCTTTAGTCCTATCCTCAGTCGAACTAATCAATTGCTTCTTTAACTTTAACTGGGGTCGAACCGGCGTCGTTTCCTCTTTTACCTGGAAACCGCCGTCGGCTAAGATCTGTTGATCAAAGAGGGGGAAAACGGGGCGAATCTCGCCGTTATCGAACGCATCTGGATTTAGACAGACGAAAGAAAAATTGTCGACAATATCTTCTTGTAATCGCGGTTTTGGGCTAAATTCCTCGGCTTCTGCCATCGATCTTTTCCGATTTGTGGAAGTAATTAATTAATGGTGGATTTGAACATGGGAATGGGGATTGCGATTAAATAGTGGATAATCGCAGGTGGAATGGACGGGGAAGACGAGGAAAGGAGGCGAAGCCGCGTAATTGTAAGGTATTAAATCAATACCCACATCACCATTTATATTAAAAAAAATTACCGTACTATTCTTATTATTAGAAGAGAAATTTGATTGAATATTAAACTGAAATCAGGATATAAGGCATTCATGTGACTTTTGTGTTCACGTGAGACTTCCATCGTCCAACATTGAGAACTCAGATTATCAATGAGATCTCATATAGGTTGTAAAAGAAATAAGGTGTTCATATAATTTGAGAATTCAGATTACCCGTAATATCTCATATAAGTTATAAAATGTGAAAATATTCAATAATCGTGAGGCTGACACCTATATGTAATAGGCCCAATATGTACTGTGGGTTTGAGGCACCGAACTTGGATTGAATTTTTTATTGGAAATACACCGAACTATGTATTAGGTTCGATTGGTGTTATTGACCATTAGAGATTGACATAGTAGAGCCCTCAAACGTGGAAAATTTTGAATTTTTAATTAAATGTTGTTAATCCTGTTTTAGACTACAAAATTAAAAATACTAAACCCTCTTAATTAACTGCTAATGGAGTTTGCTTAATATTTCAAGAAACTCAACTCCACAAAGGAAAACGTCGTCGTTTTATTTCCCACTATTTTTGACTGCCTCTCCGTTTTGACCAATTGCACAAAGTTACCGCCCTTTGAATTGTCCATGTTCGATATCGACGTGTCGGAACAAAATGCTGCCTGGCTGGAATACTTGTCGGAAAAAAAAATTGAACTTTTTTAATTAGAAAATATATCAATACTTCAATATTTTAGTTTTAATTTTTATTCAACTTTTCAAAAATTCAACGCGTTTCGTAAAATTAAAAAAAAAAAAAAAAATCTTTTTGTCATGAAATTTTACTAAAAATTCAAATATTTACTTAAGGAAATACGAAATTATGATAGAAGGATAGAAAAGAAAAATAAACACAATTTATAGAATAAAAATTAAGAAACTAAATATTTAACGAGAGATTTTGTTTTCATAATTTTGGATAAGTTTTAATTTTCATTCATGATTTTAAAAATCTTAATATAAATTTTTATAGTTCAATTCAATTTCACTAATCGTCCCTAAATTGTGTTAGAATGAATTTTGTCTGATGTTTTCCTTTATATATAAATGTTTTCCCTTAGCATTTATATTTAGTTTTTAATTTAAAATTATAAAAGGCAGAATTACATTAAAAAAAAAAAGCAATATAAATACAATAACTGATGTTATAAACTTGGCATATGAATAAATTATATGATATTATAAAATGTAATTATATAAATGTTATATTTTTAAATGTGTTCATAAATTAATAAAACAATAATTAAGATTGAGCTGATTTATTTCGATGATTTTATAAATATATTACATAACTGTTTATATGTTTATGTTTTAAGACCTTGCTTAAATAATAATAAACATTGCCAATTAACACAGTAACCTAAGTAATAATTAATTAAATAAATAATACTCCAACTTGTGAAATTTGATTAATAAAAAAAAAGTAAATTTTAATTTAAAATTAATAGATTTTAAAGTTATTTTAGGGAGTTTTAAATATTATGTATAAAAACTTAGTAATAATTAATTAAATAAATAAAAACTTTCGGAGAAAAAAAAATATATGTCTATGGTGACTTTATTTTGAGCTTCTCAAAAGTAGTATTAATTGATTATAAACCAATGATCATTACTTAAATTAGGGGACGTGGGAGTTTCATCGTCCAGCAAATCGTCCAGCAAAGTGTGAAATTCGATTAATAATAATAAAAAAAAAAAGTAAAATTAATAGATTTTAAAGTTATTTTAGGGGAGTTTTAAATATTATTAAAACTTATTTATTTATTTATTAATTTAGTAAAAAGAAAAAAAAATGTAAAAACAAAATTGTGGGGTGGGACGGTGGACGGCGCTGTGAAGGAGAAGCGGCGAAGGCTATTTTAAATTTGGCGGTAAACCGAATTGCAAGGAATTAAACCACGGCGCCATTTCTCACTCTTCAACTTCGACAACTCAATCAAACACAAACACCGTCCGATTGTAACCGTCTCCCATAATTATCCAAATTTCCTCTCTGTTATAACCCAAAAAACCCCGAAAATTTTGATCCGCAGAAATTTTGGAGCTCAATTGACGGTTCACATGGCGCCTTTCAGGTTCTGATTGTTTCTCCAAGAGTTGGGAAAAGTGTTCTGTTCTTCCCCAGGTTCTGCTCATTCCTTTTCTCAATCCCTCTTGTTTTCTTTTCAATTGTCGTATCATTTTCGTTTCCGCCATTGCTGGAATCTCGAAACAACCTTCTTGTTTTCTTCATCCAACCAAAAGATGGTGAGAACAGAAGAGCGGTTTATAGGAAACGAGATAGGGGAAAGAGTTCCAGCGGGATGAAGAATCTGGCCGACTGGTTTTGAAATTTGAATTTCAATTTGAATTTGAATTTCAATTTGAAACTCGTATAATAGAACCCTAGAAAATAGCAGAGCATTGCAGGAGGAAGAGGAAGAGGAAGAGGAAGAGGAGGAGGATTGCGACGGAAGATAAATAATGCCGCCTTCTTCAAACAATACTTCAAACGATACTTCAAACGATACCTCAAAGGATACTTCAAAGGATACTTCAAACGATACCTCAAAGGATACTTCAAAGGATACTTCAAACGATACTTCAAAGGATACTTCAAAGGATACTTCAAAGGATACTTCAAAGGATACTTCAAACGGTACTTCAAACGATACTTCAAACGATACTTCAAACGATACTTCTTCTCCTACATCGGATTTTGTTTCAAATTCAAGTTTGCCGCCTGAAGCTCCGGATTCTTCTTCTTATTCTCCGCCGCCGCAATCAAATGACTTTACAACGTTCCCACTTAATGAAGCCGATGCTCCTGACCCGTCGTATGTGTCATCGTCAATTGAAGCTCCACCTGCCGACCATGAAGGTTCACCATCTTCCTCACCGTCAGCTTCTCCGGAACCTGAAAGGACATCGCTGGCCCCTACTATCGCCTCCAATTTAATTGCATTCGACGAGAGTCCGCCACCGCGTAAAGTTTCTGCTTCACCACCGCCGTCTCCCCAGCCTCCTCCACCGCCGCCTCATCCACCACCACCACCTTCACCATTGCCTTCACCACCGCCTCCAGAACAGTCGGATGACGTTATCGTCGTCGATCCTCCACCTGCCCCTGTTCCGACCAAGAAAAAATCTTCGGAACATCGAGGAAGTCCACCTTCTCCAATATCTGAGAATGATTCCCCTGATGTGGCGAATGAAAGCACCGATCGGGGTTCTAAAAAAGCCAAGGAGCCTCCGCCATCTGAATCGACGGATCCTCTTCCTTCACCAGAAAGTCCGGACGTGATTCCCTCACCAGGTGCAAACTCGGCGAAGGGGGAACGAGCTCGGAGTCCACCTCCAGAAACAATTTCTCCCGCACCAGAGGATAACATTCCTTCACCTCCCATAGTCACATCCGCTCGCGCTCCAAACAACTCACCTCCTTCTATCGACTCAACGCCCGTGAAATCAACATTGGGGCAGTCCAATGCACCATCGTCTGTTTCAAGTAGTCACACTGATATTGCAGTAGGCGCTGCAGTCATTGGAGTTTTCGTAATCGCTTTGGTTGCTGTGATTTTTGTGTTACTAAGGAAGAAGAAAAGACAGGGAAACATGTATGGGGGCCCCTACACGCCTCCTAATAACTACGGTGCTAAATCAGGTATCAAAGAAATTTGGAATTATTCGTAAGTAGCTTCCTGTTCTTCAATTTACAAATTATGGTTCTGATTTAGATGATGTTAATTTTCTTACATGTTAGATGGAAATTACTATCCACATCAACATATGGGCAATTCTGGCTCTGCTGAAGGCTTCTACACTCAGGTCCCACATACTCCGGTTGGAAATAGCTTTGGGAGTCAAAAAGGAACAGGATCCAGTGGCAGTGGAGCAGACTCAGGTGTGATAAACAGTGCTAAGTTCGTCTTTAGCTATGAGGAATTGATGGAGATTACGTCTGGATTTTCGCGTCAAAACATTCTTGGGGAAGGTGGGTTTGGATGTGTCTACCAGGGTTGGCTTCCGGCAGGGAGGTCAGTGGCTGTGAAGCAACTCAAGGCAGGAAGTGGACAGGGGGAGAGGGAATTCAAGGCGGAAGTTGAGATTATCAGTCGTGTTCATCATCGGCATTTGGTGTCTTTAGTGGGCTACTGCGTCTCTGAGAATCATAGATTGCTCATCTATGATTTTGTTCCCAATAAGACTCTTGAGCATCATCTCCATGGCGGTATGTGGAACCTATCCTTAAGCTCCACCATCACATTAAAATAGCTCCACCTGGTGTTCATGTTTAAAACATTTGATTTCTCCTGGCAGGTAATGGAGTACCCGTGTTGGATTGGTCCAAAAGACTCAAAATCGCTTTAGGAGCTGCAAAGGGTTTGGCATATCTTCATGAAGATTGTGAGTACATATCTCTAAATTCAAAAAGCTTTACTGAATTGAACTGTTCCAATGTTGCTGAGACCACATACTCTGTTAACTCCCCATCTCCTTTTACTGCTCTTTTCATAGGCCATCCCAGAATTATTCACAGAGACATCAAGTCAGCCAACATTTTGCTGGATGATGCTTTTGACGCACAGGTACGTCCAGAGTAATTCTTTTCTTATAATTTCGATAGCTTCTTGTTTCTACAGTCTCGGATTCATGGACAACTTCGAACACAGGTTGCAGATTTTGGACTTGCAAAACTGACAAACGATACAAACACCCACGTTTCGACTCGTGTCATGGGGACATTTGGGTGGGTGAACTCAGACATATTCTCATCGGATGACAATTCTTGGAGCCGTGTCTTTCCTAATAATTTATCGTTTGTATTTGAATGGCTTGCAGGTACATGGCGCCTGAGTACGCATCAAGTGGGAAATTGACAGACAGATCAGATGTGTTCTCGTTTGGGGTTGTGCTTCTTGAGCTTATTACTGGTCGTAAGCCTGTTGATCCCACTCAGCCTTTGGGGGATGAGAGTTTGGTTGAATGGGTATGACAATAAATGAACAAGCATTTCAAAATTATCCTCCATTTTCTTTTTTACTTATCGTCAAGCTTTCCGCCATGCTATATGTTGAAGATCTGCCTTCATCTTCTTTGAGATGCACTTGAAGGGATTCAGTAATATTCTATGTTTGTTGCAGGCTCGTCCACTCCTCCTTCACACCCTTGAAACTGGGGTTTTTGACGGATTGATAGATCCACGCCTTGGAAAACAGTATGTGGAAAGTGAAATGTTCAGAATGATCGAAGCAGCAGCTGCCTGCGTTCGTCATTCGGCTCCCAAAAGGCCTCGCATGGTTCAGGTTAACTTAATTCCATTGAAAACTCTGTTTCATTTCATCAACAAGCTTGTTCTTAAATTGTAGTTCTCTTCTAATACTTACTTTGGTCAACAGGTGGTGAGATCACTAGATATTGAAACAGACATGTCTGACCTCTCCAATGGTGTCAAATATGGCCAGAGCACCATCTATGATTCTGGACAATACAGTCAAGACATCTCTAAATTCAGGAGAATGGCGCTTGGTGGAGACAGCTCCGAATTCGACATTTACAGTAGCGAATACAGTTCCAGAGAAATGAATGCAAGTGGAGAATCATGGAGATTCGAAAACAACTCAAGCGGTGAATCAGAAACTCGAGCTTTTCACGGACGAACTGGCGCACCACAAAGTCACCCTAGCGGTCGACAATTCTAATATGATGCTGAAACAAAGACGTAAATAACGTGCAAAGCTTCTTCCTTTTTTCTTTTCCCCACCATTTTGACTTAGTTTTCTCTTTTTTCATCATAAACTTATACATCCTTCTAGACTAACGAGGTGTGGAATAGTGATTTGGAATTTTACAATTGAGCCCCAACTAGTAAACACCATATAATATAATTGGTTGACCAGTGATATTCTACTTCTGGTTATGCTCTGGTCTTCTATTTATTGCATTTAAACACCATATGTCTACCCATTATATTATACATTCATAGTTTGTGTATTATATTTCCCCCCGTTGGAGTAATAACCAGCAGGGAAGAAGAAGTTAGCAGAACGAAGAAAAAAAGTTACTTGGCTCATTTTGATGAAATAACAAGTTCCCTAGCTCAAGCTGATTAATGTAACTGGTGCAGGCGATTACACAAACCGACGTTTGGATAATCCGTTGCACTTTCTAAGATGTTTACGTCGAGACCGGGTAATAAACACTTTCCCTTTGTGCAGCCTATTTTAATTGTCTCATTTCTCTGCTTGTTAGCTTGATTAGTGAGTCCCTCAGTCTCTTAGGCTGAATGTCATTTTCATTCGCCTATATATGCAATAGAAGAACAGTCAGTCAGTAGAAACAAGTTCTTTTACCTAGAATTTAAGGAGGGCTTTACAAACTTTTAGACCGGTAATCTGAAGTATAAGCTCATAATAGGTATATAAACTCAAAAGAGTCTTACCTCAACATGGAAAATGTTCAGGACCATACCCCCAAAGGTGGTAATATTGACATCAACAACCTGCAACCCCAATGAATCCATAGCTTCTATCGAGCTCACCACACCACCTTGTGTCTGCTTGCAGAATAGCTTGATTAAGAAATCTCTTTCATTAATTTGCATCACTTCCACTTCCACCTAAAAACATTTTAATAGGGCATACGATTCAGCATTAGTAAGCACTCTTTCCCCTTAATGTTTGATTGGAAGGGTTATTTGGGAAGGAGCTGTAAAGATGAGGTCAAACTTTGAAACTCTACCTCCATAGGCTTCTCCTCACCAAGGATAAACATTGGTTGATCGTTCTGAACAAGAGGCCAATATATTGTGTCATCTTTGTTCTTCTCTGATGGAGAAATCTTCAAGTGTCTGTTCTTTTGACAGTCTTTGTGCTCCAATTGAACAAGTTCATTCTGGAGGTTTTTCACATTCTCTTCCAACTCTCTTATGTAGTTGATAGCATCCACAATGATTGATGCTCTATCCATCTATGGGTATCATCATATCAAAGACAGAAGATTAATAAACATAATCTAAACAAATTCACCATTTGGTATTTGATAGTTTGGTTGAACCTTGGATATATTAGGGACTAAGGCGCGTAACGCGTAGAGACGATCCCTAATCTTGTTTCTTCTTCTCCTCTCTGTGATAAGATTTTTGGATTTGTAAATTTCCTTTCCTTGTCTCCCTCCTCCAGTTTTGGCTTCATCTTTCTGCAAGAACTTTGAATAATCCGAAACCACATCTCTTTGTTGTTCAAGCAAATCTTCCTGGGGCGTTGGCCTCTTGGATTCAAGGGACCTGTGAATTGGTTGGTTGAAGAACCCACGTGAAACCAAACTTGAATAGGAATCAAAGTAGTGATGCTCATTGGAAGGCTTTGAGCCACTGGATGATCCTTCACAGCTAGGAAAGGAGTTGGACTGGGACACTGAAGGAAGAATTTCCAACTTGGATTTGAAATCAAGCAAGGGCTGAGGATCAGGCCAGTCTACTGAATAGTACTTGGTACATGAATCAAGTCTTTTCTCATTGAGGTCACCATCCAATTCACTCTCTGTATCAAATTCTTGCTCCATAGAGATATTACAGTGAGCCATTACAAAGTCTATAACCTCTCTGTCTCTCGGCATCTGAAAGAGATTGCACCCTAATTATGAAGAGAAGTTGTTTTGGTAGCACAAATATAGTCCATGTTCTTACTAGTAGTTCATAGTTCTTAGTTCTTACATGTTTTGTCGCAAAAAGCTCCACAATGCCAGCAGAAATTGGTATTAGAACACGAGTTCCAGTCAACTCCTGCCAAATAAGATGGCATTGCACAGAAGTTAGTCAAAACCAACCAGCCCCCCAAAGAGGAAGAAAAACAAGAAACCCACATGTGAAAAGCTTGAAGTAGAAGAAACTTCAGCACTCGTAAGCCACATGGGTTGGTTCGAAATCAAAACATCTCCATGAACCCTGCGATAAAACACGAATTTGAAGAAATTTTCCCAGCAGTTCTTCCATAATCATCTTAGTCTAGAAGATTAACGAACAGTTCTAAGTTCTAAGTAGCTACCCAGAGTTCAATGATATAGTAGAAGGGAACTGAGCAAGTGCTTGGCAAGCATTTGTTCTCCTAAAATGTCGAAATCGAGTGTCCTTACAAAGAATAGCTGGGATTGTCTCACCGGCTTCCCTTTTCCCACCGGCGTCGAAACTTCCACAGCTACAGCAGCAACCTACCCAATCAATGAACCTACAAACAGCAGCCCAGCCGTCCACTAAAACTACAACACACCATTTTCGATCAAATCAGAGAAGAGTGTAATCAAACATATATATATATATACCTGGAAGAATCATCCCTCGATCTCCAAACAATGCAATAATCCCAAACTTTGGTCTCCACAAGAGCCCTAAGACACTCCAGAGCTCCCTCAAAGCCTCTCATAATCTCTGGTTCTCCTCAACTGAAGTGAGTGTATAAGTTGATGAAGTACAGGAGGAGAAGGGTAACTAACTAACATTTGATTCGGAAAGGGGAAAATCAGAGTCAGTTTTCGAAAACAGAAATCTGATTCTGCTTTAAGAAGAAAGAGAAAGAGAGAGAGAGAGAGAGTTTTGACTGAGCAGTGAGAAGAGAAACAGAAAACCATGGAATCGAATGGTTGAAATGAAAGGTACCCATAACCATAACTGCTGCCGCTGCTGCTGCGGCTGCTGCTGCTGCTGGTGCAGTTGAGTAGAAAGAGAATGATATTCGATTTAAGGGCGCATAGGGGTTGAGGGAAGGCTTCTGAAAATGGAAAATGAATAGAGTGGATTGGATTGGAGTGGGACCGTACAATGGTGTGGCGACGATCCTGCCCATTTTCTTCTTCTTCTTCTTCTTCTTCTTGTTCTTGGTATCGTTGATTTTGAAAGAGTACGTACCAACTCTGTGTTTGTGCAGTTGCAGCAGAGTTGCAGAGAAGCTCAATCATATGTTTGTGTAAAACAAAAGGACAATTATTAACCACTACTACCCTTTCCAACGGTTCCTTATATACTCAACAACTCATTCCTACCTAATTTAATTCGCCTAAATTAATCAAATTATACTTTATATCCAAAATATTTTAAGAGTTCCAATAATATTCTTTTTAAATAGTCTCATTCCATCGTAGAATTTTTTAACTTTTAAGAAAATTTAACTAATATTCTTCCGTCAAAAATACCATTAATTTAAAAAATATTTATAAAATTTTCAAATTACCATTAATATTCTTTAATAAAAAAGCAAAATAAAATTCTTTTTATCAATTCCGGGACAAAAATCATTCATAGATTATACTTAAATTTTTTAATGTCACTTCTACAAATTTATAAGTAGTTTTAAAACGTGGTATTAATGGTAAGTGTATTTAATTTAAGGGTGTTATTAAAGCTTTTTGAAAGCTTATGAGAATTTTTTTTAGACAAATTGCAAAATTCAACGGTAATTTAGGGATTCAACTAATATAATATCAAAAATCCAAATATCACTTTTAAATAAATACATCAAATTTGGTGGATATATATATATATATATTTATTTATTTATTTATTTATTTATTGTATCCTATTAGTGCAAGAAAAATTAAACAGTATTCTAATTTAATAACACAATGTTATGTAACATGTCATAATTACACATCGATAATTTAGTCTCGTGCTATTAGTGAGTATTAAAATTGGTTGACAATAAATTTATGAAATTTTTATCCGGATTACTATTAGGCTTTCTGTACAATAGCTACACACAATTTATTAATGAGCGTTAACACTTGTACAATATTTCGATTTCAATTGTTCAAAGAATTAGATTGTTCAATTAACGACGGGTTGAGTTGATACAACAAGAAAAAAAATACTCACGTGACATAACATTTAATAAATTAACAAAAATTTGGTGGTCGGAGAAATTTCCGAAAGGTAAAAAATGTAATACATTTTAAGTAAAGGATAAATATTGGAATTTAATAAAATAAAAAGTTAGATAATAAAAAATGGAAACATTAGGTAATAATTTATTAATTCCCTTTTCTATTTACTTAAATCGAAAATTGTAAGGGTAAAAAGATTTCTGATATTTTTCTTCCGTACTGCACCTCGCACGTGCGAGGCGAAGGAAGGGACTTGAGCGGCGACTCTAATTTTATTATGGGGCTTGGGCTAAGAGATTCGAATTGGGCCTTTGATCAATCTGTCCGTATCCAAAATTCTTAAAAATGACGGATTGGGTTGGTGGTGGGATTTTTTTGACCCAACCCAAAAGTTCAGATTGGTTGAATCGATTAATCAACCCAACTCGAAAATTTTCATAATCCAACCTAACTCAACCCGTTGGATTCGGATTGGGTTGTTGAGTTATAAAAATTTTGGTAGAAGTTTTATTTATCCACAGTTCATAGTTATTTAGATATAATTTAGATAAAATATATTAAAACTTCACAAACAAACATATAACAAAAAATTGTAACGTATTAACATAGTTTAACATTGTCATAAACCTAAAGATAACTAAATACCGACATTTGTTGAGAATCAATTAAAATAAGAAAAATATCAAGCGAAAATTGTAACATATTAACATAGTTTAACATTGTCATAAAACTAAATATCTTATTGAAAATCGGTTAATTAAGAACATCAAATTAAATAAACAATAAAAATGATTAGTTTAAAGATGTTATAAAATTTTTTTAAAAATATTTAAAAAATGTAAAGATAAATCATAAAATTAAATAAATAATAAAAATGATTAATTTAAAGGTGATGTATATAACAAAAATAAAAATACGGTAAATAAAAATACTGTAATGTAAAATATTTTAATTGCAATATGATGTGACAAAAAGAATATAGTAACAAAAAGAAAATGTATACGAAAAGAATATATGTATATCCTTGGCGTTGAACTCAAGCATAAGTGTGAGGCCAAGGGATTACTCTCCTAAACTTATTTATACATAAAAATTCTTAATATAATTTATATATTTTTATTTTATTCGGGTCAGGTTTTATCTATGAATGGAAAATGGAAGATCCCATTCGAAATCAAAAAAATGATTCTAACCCTAGTGCTAATTCAACCCAACCAAACTGGGATTAGCGCTAATTCAACCCAACCAAACTGGGATTAGCTGATATGTTGTGAGGTGGAATGTAAACCCCTATTTTCTTATATTAATAAAAATAAAAATAAATTAGAGTTCTTCCACCTCCCTTATTCCCTTATATTCGAATTCGTATTCTCTGCCTTTATTCCAAACCCATTATTTGTTTGGTTACATTAAAACACGGAAGAACAAGAACATCTCTGAATTCAAGACGGCGTAAGCTTGAAGATATGCCACCCATTAGATTTCAATTCATTTACATTTCTACTCGGAATTCAAACGGCGTCACAGACTTGTGATTGAACTGAATGAAGAGCTTGTAATTAGATCGAGAAAAAAAAAAAAAAAGAAACCACTCTGCTTTGATTTGACAATTACCCATCAAACGGGATGAGCTGCTGCTTTGAACTTGAAATCCCCTTCATGATGATCATCATCCGCGTGCTTGATTTGGCCTCTCATTTCGCCGCCATTTTCAAAGGGTTTGAACCCATGGCTATGGCCATTAGGCCCATTAGGCCCATGGCCGTTGCCTTTGGTTCCTCCATTTCCACCAGATGGGGCTTTGCCTTTCCCATTTGGGTTTCTCAAATCCAATCCAAATTCGATGTCTCCTTCTTTGTCAGGATGCAATTTGGGTTCTTTCCCTCTGGGACGAGCGCCGCCGTGAGTTTTCTCCGGCTTCGCCCTCTGGTTTTCAGCTCGCCGGTTGCAGAGTCGGCCAAGGAGGCAAGCAACAGTGGATATGACAAGAATAACGGCAAGAACTATAAAAACTGCCCCGAATGAGCCGTTGGAGTGGTGGGAAGGAGGAGGTTGGCTGCCAACGGCAGCAGTGTTGGGATAAACCAAAGCCGGCTGCTGCTGCTGCTGTTGAAGGTCCGACATGTCGGCGGGGTTTGGGAATTGAGGATGGAGGAGGGGATGGGTATTAATGAGTATATGAAAGGGTGGGGTGTGGTGGTGCTTTGAGTGGAAGGGAAGGGAGAGATATGGATTTAGTGAAGGAAGGAAGCAATAAGGTTGCATGTGGAAGAGGGTTATGTATCAATGAATGATGGATTCCAAGGAAGAAAGTAAAAGAAAAGAGGTCAAAAAGGGAGGAACTTTCTTTTCCTAAATATATATATATATATATTCTTCTCCACTTCTTTAAATTTTTAGCTAATCAACACAAAGAGTGGTATATTAATTCATGACTATAAGGATAGAGTTCGGTACCAAACGATTATCTAAACTATTTTTGTAAATCACTTTCAAGTATGATTATAATCAACACAGTAAAGATAGTATGTATTAAATTTCATTTAATCAAATTCATATTTTGAATTATTTTAAAGTGTTTAATTTGAGATTTTGAAGGCATATAATGACGTCACTAATTTAAGGCAAGAAATTTAGGGGCGTCACAGAGTGAGTATCTCTCGACATATTTTAAGCTTCATTAACATTAAAATATTAATTAATATAAAAAAAATAATTGGTGTAAGAGAAGAGAGTACGTACACTAAAGTTAGTGTGGAAATGGTGAGAGGAGAGCAGAAGAGACAATGATTAGAGGGAGAGAAGAGCAAAAGAAAGAGACAACAAATCTGATTTGTTGTGTTGGGTGGGGGATTCAACATTGGGATTCGGGACGCAATTCCAGTTTGCTGCCGAGCGGCCATGACATAGGGCGCTCCCCTGCCCTGTTTTTTTCTTCTCGCTTTTCAAAGCCTTGTTGCCTTTATCTTTCTCCAAGACGGGTTGGCCTATAAAGGCTGCTCTACTCCCCTTGCTTTTCCTTTTCTGTCTTTGGATCGTTACGAGACAATGATGGGTTATTTTCCATTCTGAAGTGATTGGTTGTGGATTTTAAGCAACTTTTATGCTCAACCGGCCTGGTCTTGAAACATCTGACAAAACTACCAGATAAGTTCTGCACAAAATCAACATATTTGTAGGGAAAAGGAGCAAGAACAAAAACGTGAAGATTAGCTTAGAGATGTCATTGTAATTTCATCGGAAAGGCATTACAGTTAAGATTCTGTGGGATTGATGGAATGAAAGCTTAGAGATGTCATTGTAATTTTATCGGATCAACGGTTCTATTTCCAGACATAACGAATAAGATGAGTCTTTGCCCATTGGTGAATTGGGTTGAGTTAAATTGGATTAAATGGAATCAACAAACAAATTATTTAAATATATATTTATCCAAATTTTATTGAGTTGAATTAACTACTTTTAATTTTTTATTTTTTAAAATTAAAATTTTAAATCCATTCTTTTAAAAATATTGTAAGACTTGGTTGCAAATCTTAATAAATATTTAAAAATAAATAAATAGATCTTTTTGCATATTAATATTTTTATTTTATTAAAAAAAGAAATTACAATCTAAATAATAGGGTAGAATCTAACAGATATTTCTACTCCGCCCCATATCCAAATAATAAGGTTGAATCTAACAAATATTTTAACTCAACCGCGACACAACCCAATCCATAAATAACCCTACTAACAACATTACTCTTAGGAAAGTAGCATTATTTTCTAGAGCTTCGTTCAGTTGATAAATGATGGGTTGAAGAGGAGACAAGAGGGAGTCCATCATGCTTAAAAACAAACACCCTTCAAAAATCCTCAAAATTGAAGATCAATATATACAAGTATAACTTGTACTTTATTTGTCTTAACCTTCTTTTTCCCCAAAGAAAAGAAACCAAAAGGAAGAGATATTTGGTGGATTGTTATCCAATTCCCCAAAGAAGATATAACCTTCTCACTGTGGATATAATAGAACTTGGCTCATCAAAATTACTCCAAACAGGAATAAAGGATCATTAAGCAATACTAATCCCTTGACGAGTGAAAGATTTTACCATCCAGAATTAATGTAAGACTATCGACTATAAATTGATCTTTGATATCGGTTTCAGCCTCTAAAGGGAAATATGTGAACAACATCCTATATCGATGCTTAGATTCATCGTTAACGGGATGTAACCAAAGCTACAAAGAAAAGCTAATCTTGACACTAAATTATGCGGCATTATTATTTCTTACTATTCATGCAATGAAATTGAAACGGAAGCAACAAAAGAATTGGTTATGAGACAAATCCAACATGGAATGATACATCAACTAGTTTCAGCTAGAAATCGAATGAAAATAACAAGCAAGTAAAGCCCCAAAAAAGAGCCCCAAACACAATAACCAAGGCTAACCATTCTGATATTACAGTATAATGACAAATAGTTTGCTAAAAAAGCTCCCGTAAACAGAAAAACCATAACCTCTTTGTAAGGTGCCCCATGAAAAAAATTAGATAATATTCACCCTGCATCCAGAACTGTGAGTCTCATCGATACGCTCATGCCTGCACACAATAGGAGCGTATGCACAGAGATGTAAGTCACTGTTCAACGGGATTTCAGTAAATAGTAATAGAGTGAAAGAAAATGTAATGCTTTCCTCATTCCCCCCCGCCCCCATATGTAAGGGTGGGATAAGGAGGAGGAAGGGTTGGTTAAAAACAAGATGATGCACCGTTGATATAAAGCTTTTCGGGTTCCAAAACCAATTGGTAAATAAGAGAAATATGTTATTATTTACCTTGTTAGCAATGTTGTTGGAGAGCCAATCCAACCCCTCATAAAGCCCCTCTCCAGAGGTGGCACAAGTGCTCTGGATGTACCTGAAAGACAGACATCCATGAAGAAGTTCACATCTGAGAAAGCCAAGTTACGAGAAGGAAAATTTTATATTCAGAATAAGATGGCAAGCCTACCAGTGACGCTGACGGAGCGAGTGGAGACCAAGCTTGTCAGTGATCTCAGCAGCATTCATTGCATTCGGAAGATCTTGTTTGTTAGCAAACACAAGCAGAACTGCATCTCGCAGCTCATCCTAGGATCAAATGAGATATCATTAGAATCTGATGGTCATGTGTCTACATAAACTGAAACACAAGGGGGAAAGGGGTACACTACTAGTAACAGGTCTATAACAAAAAGACAAGCATTTACGTCTGACTAGATAATAAGGACATCATAAATGCTTAAAACTTGGATAGATTATGAGATGGTGAATAATTTAGAAAAAGGAAAACGGTAAATCGTGAACTATTAGAACAGTACTCCCAAAAGTGATATAGCAGGCTTTACGGGTGACTTCAAACAGAAGCTCAAACTAGATAGTTAAGTTAGTATGTAATACCTCATTCAACATCCTATGCAATTCATCCCTGGCCTCAACAACTCGATCTCTGTCATTGCTATCAACAACAAATATGAGACCCTGCGTATTCTGGAAGTAGTGCCTCCACAAGGGGCGAATCTGTTGGACAACCATTTATGAACACAATTTAATGAGACAGTATATAAATGACACATTTAGAAATAAGGAACAAATGAACTGCATTCTAGCAAGGTAAGATTTTAATGAACACAATGCCAACTCAGACTGGAGAGAAATCAAGACAGCAGAAGTTCAAACCTTGTCTTGACCCCCGACATCCCAGACAGTGAAGCTGATGTTTTTGTATTCGACAGTCTCAACATTAAACCCTGCAAGTAAAGGACATAGGCTAAATTATGATCTTCGGCAAAGCAAGTGCTAAAAAATAGATTATGCCAAGAGAAATTTCAGTCAAGGTGACAATCAGCTAGTTGACTTCTTCAAGCAAACTTTCTTTGTACTGTTTTCTTTCTACGTATCGATAATCAACTGGATAAGATGTAGGCGGTTTAATATTTCAAATCATAGAGTTAACAAACATCCAAATGTTAAAGCAGAAGGAAATTGTGAAACCAACATGAAAAATGCACAAAAACATGGTATAGTCAAATACTATATGAATATGAACTGCAGTGATGAGAGATCTAAATATTCCTTCCTCCTTTGACCAAGGTGATAATCTAGTGATTGACACTTTATTTCAGCATTGACTATATATTTGTTTTATGTAAACATATATCCAGATGAAAAAATAGTACAAGTTCAATATTTAAAATGGCTGACAAACGAGTGTAGTAGATAAATGAGCAGAAGAATATTGCGAGCCCAGCATGGAGGAGTATTGTCATGGTGTACTCCTAGTAATAAATCTTATAAAATGCAGAGATGAGAGATGTCGTGAGCTTACTTTCTCAAATAACATATTATAAACGAATCAATCTATATACACACACACACACAGGCACATAGATCGAAGATAGATCATGAAATAACTCCGCTTATATCTAGAAAGGAAATGGAAGAGAAAACTCACCGATGGTAGGGATTGTTGTCACGATCTCGCCAAGCTTGAGCTTGTAGAGGATAGTCGTCTTACCAGCCGCATCAAGACCAACCATCAGAATTCGCATTTCCTTCTTGGCAAAAAGCCGACTGAAAAGCTTTGTGAACGTAAGCCCCATTCTGTCTCTGCCAAAAAATCCCAACGTGATTCCAACGCCATCAGAATATATCAGATGAATCGATAACCATGGCGACAAAGATCGGGAGAAAATAGCGATGCCGGAAATGAAAATCAACAAATTATATATATAGAAATCTAGACAATTCGAAGTACCATACAATAAAATGGAACGTAAAAAGGAAGCAGCTGAGAATCGTCAATTCCATAAAATCACATCCCTCACGCTCACTCGAAGGGATCTGAAGGTAGATCACATCGCAACTTCAGATCGGTTTGAGACCAGGAAAGTGACCTCATATGAAACTCATCCAAGAAATTCAAGCATCCAACAAAAAATTAAACCACAAAAAATCGACAAAGAAGCAGATCGGAACAATAAATGACGGTACTAATCAGAAGAGGCGCCTAATTCGTATTAGAAAACAAAGTATTATGTGTTATAAATTGAAAAGAAACAACGGACATCAGAAAATCAAGAACCACAATATCAGAAAGACTACAAAATCACAGAGGGACAGAAAAGGAGAACGAAATTCGGAAACAAGAAATTACCTTCAACGAGCACCACCGAGAATCTGCGACAGACAGAAAAAAGAAACGGTGGGAAGATGAAATTCCAACCCGGGCCCTGTATATAAACCAAGGCGAGGGCAGGTTGAAGTACGAAACTACCCTTTTGATGTACCGTAGGAGAGTCAACTAATTTCCAATAAACATCGAACACGTCATTGATCTTTGAATTCACAGATTGGCGTCATTCGACTTTTCACACACAATAGGAAATTAATATTATTTAGCGCGTTGAATTTTAATCCAATAAACGGTCGCCACGTGTTGATACAAGTTTCGTTGAATTGAATGTTATTGCCCTGCGGTCGTCGGTGATTCAAATTTGAAGTCTGGAAATTGAAAGCAGACGTTCAAACTTAAAAGGAACATAACCTAACGGGTAATTTTATTTCTATTTCTAAAAAATATATAATAAAGTCAAATTCCAAAAAATAAAAGATAAAAAAAAAAATTATTCTTAAAAATGATGGAAGAAAATTGATTTGATTGGTTTGAATTAATCCAATGTTTTATCATTATTTTAGGTTGTGAAAATTCAAAATTTTAATTTAAAAAATAAATAAATATTTAGGTCATGGATTTTTTACATTATTTTATCAGTAAATTTAAATGGGATTTTATTGTGACGTTAAAATCTTTCCTTTTAAACATACTTAAAATTAAATTACTCTTTTTAATCCAAAATCTCAAATTAGGCAAAACTATATCGTAAAAACAGGAATTACCAACTCAGTAATCTTCTTTAAATGGTAAAAGAATCTCAACCCATTCAATCCAATTACCGAGATTAATCACTTAATAAAAACAATTTATCTTAAATAAAATTTTATTAAACGTATACAGTGAATTCGAGCTCGTTATTTATTAATTTCTTTTTCCAAATTGCATAAAATTAATTTCTTACAAAAATTTGATTTATACACAAATAATAATAATAATAATAATAATTTATTAAATTAAAAATGACACATTTTTTAAATTTAGAACTGGATGAGCGGATCGAATCACAAGCATTTTAGAGATTCAAATCAATTACACATATTTTTAATTTTTTGCATTATATTAAAAAAAATGTATTTGTATTGACCAATGAATAATCCTCCACTTCCGAAATGGTTGAAATAAAATAATAATAATAATTTAAATTAAATGTTATGGTACCTTGTGTTGGATGATGGAAATCCCACATCGGCTAATTTAGGGAATGATCATGGGTTTATAAGTGAGGAATACTAACTCCATTGGTACGAGGCCTTTTGGGGAAGCCCAAAGCAAAGCCATGAGAGCTTATACTCAAAGTGGACAATATCATACAATTGTAGAGAGTCGTGTTCGTCTAACTTGGTATCGGAGCCAAGCCCCTCCTCGAAGGTAGTAAAAAATGACTAAGACTCCAAAGGAGTCGAGCCTCGATTAAGGGGAGGCGCACTTTGTTCGAGGGGAGGTGTTGGATGATGGAAATCCCACATCGGTTAATTTAGGGAGAGGCTAATTTAGTTTGAGGAGCGGGTTTATAAGTGAGGAATACTAACTTCATTAGTATGAGGCCTTTTGGGAAGCCCAAAGCAAAGCCAGGAGAGCTTATGCTCAAAGTAGACAATATCATACAATTGTGGAGAGTGTGTTCATTATTATTTAAATTAAATGGTACATCCGAGCTGCGAGCGAAATTCGTTGGCATTTGAATTTTGAGATCAAGGTTTTCTTGGGAATTTAGAGAAATCTGGTGGCCGGCGTTCCATATACGCCGATCTTCCTTCGTTACTCTCTTCTGTACCATAAAAGATGAGCGTGGCGTCGCCGGCGAGCGCCTGCACGACGGATCAGAGAACAGTGAATCAGTCATTCAGCCGGCCGGCGGAAAATGATTGAAGAAAATTGGGAGTTTCAAAGCACGGTACCTGAAGTCCGGCATGTCCGTCGTCAACGGCGTTGAGAGCCGATTTTAACACCCGGATTGCCGTCGGACTGTTCCTTAGAATCTCTCTGCACCATTTGATTGTTTCTTGCTCGAGCTTATCCACCTGAAGAAGGAAAAAAACAGAGCTAGGAGTTTAACCAGTTTTACACCAAATTCAGAATTGAATGAAGGATTTGGGCGGCGGCGGCGGATGAGCTCACCGGAACTACGGTGTTGACGAGACCCATTTTATCTGCTTCAGAAGCCGAGTAGAATCTGGTGAGAAACCACATTTCTCGTGCCTTTTTGGGGCCAACCTGATCAATCCAAGAAATCAGAAAAAGGCGAAACAGAGTATCGAAACTGAAAGGGCAAACCCAGAAATTTTGCTAACCAAACGGGACATAATGGAGCTTCCATAGCCAGCATCGAAGCTCCCCACCTAAAGGGAAGAACAGTTCAAATTGAAGCACAGAGGAAGGAAGCAATGGCTGCAATTCAGAAATTTTTTTAATTGAAATTACCTTAGGACCTGTTTGACCAAATATTGCATTGTCTGCAGCAATCGTTAAATCACAAACCATATGCAAAATATGTCCTCCTCCAACAGCATAACCTGCCACCTAATAATAATACATTCAAAATTAAATTGCTAAATTAAAAAAAAAAAAAAAAAAAAA